CTAGACCCCACTCCCCTCCCAGAGCCGAGGGTAGAACCCAGGAGTCCGGGCTCCCCAGCTCTCTCTTGAGCTGCCAGACCCCAGTCCTTCCTCCCGCGGACATGAGCTCTGACCTGCTGCCAGGCCCTGCCGCCCGGGCCCTGTGTGCTGCAATCAGGGGCCGCACATGCTGCCCCCTCCCCCGCTCCTGCCTGGGCTGCCAGTTCAGCGCAGAGGGATCCAGACCCGTTTCCTGCCGTCTGCAGCCCTCCAGCCTGGGGGTCATTTCCTGGTCTCAGACGGCGCCTCCGGAGCTTGGGGATGTGACTCACGGGCTCCCTGCCCCCCAGGGTCCCACCGCCATGCCAGGATGGCTCCTGTCCTACTGCAGGGGGCAGCCTCCGGGCAGGGCTCCCAGCCTCAGGACCTGCGTGGCACCAGGCACAACAGTTGCACTGCTCATTGCTGGCCTGGGCACAGCTGGCATCTGAGCCAGGCAGGGGGCTGCAGAGGGGTGGCCTGGCTCCCCCTTTGTCTAGAGGCCTCCAGGGGGCACCCTGGGGTGTTGAGCCCCATGGGGCTGGGGTGGGGGTCTGGATTTGGCCTGGAAAACGGGTTCGCTCCATTTCCCCGGAGAGCTTTGCTGGCCGCTGAGCCGTAACCCCCCAACCTACGTGCTCTAAAATCCACAGGCTGACTCGATGGCTGTGCCCTATGGGTGCAGGGGGGTCCCTACCCAGCTCTGGGAGGGGAGTGGGGTCTAGTGGTTAGAGCAGGCAGAGCTCTGGAATCAGGACAACCGGGTTCCTTTCTTGGCTTAGGGAAGTGGGGTCAATTGGTTAAAGGAGGAGGGCTCAGAGCCAGGACTCCTGGGTTCTGGCCCCAGCTCTGAGAGCGGTGTGGGGGTCTGCTGGTTAGAGAGGGGGGCTGGGAGCCCGGGTTGCTCCAGCTCTGAGAGGGGAATGGTCCCAATCTGGGGTTCTTTGAGCCAAGCGTTCCCAAGAGATGGCGCCTTGTTGGAAAACAGAAAGGACACCAAGGTTGTGCAGATCTTATCACGCCTGTGTGCTTACCCGGGGCTCAGACTCTGGCTCCAACCCTCCCTTGTGAGGAATTCAGGGCTGGTCCAGCCTGCCCCGGGGACGCTCTCCAGACGTGGGCACCCGAGCGTGCGGAGACGACCCTGCAAAATCAGCCAAGGTCCCACCCACCTGCACCCCAAATCGAGGGCCCCTTTGGATCTGGGGGCAGCTGAGCCCGGCCCGGCTGGGAGCTGTGTTGGGGCCAGTGAGGCTTCTCCCCTCCAGGGGCATGAAGGGCATTCCCATTTGCAGGGCTCCAGTACCAGCGATGGGCCCTACACCCCCCCACCCCAACAAACACCCACACAAGCGGGAGGTGAGAGTGGCTGGAGACAGCCTGGCTCAGGGGCAGGGCATTGGCAGGGCCCAGCCTCCCGCAGCAGCTGCATCCAGCTCCTGGAGGGGGGGAAGAGGGGGATGTCTGGGTGCAGGTGTGTGTACATGAGCATGTGGCATGTTTGTGTGTGTGCCCTGGGCATGTCCACATGAGCATACAACTGTGTCCATGCATATGTGTGTGTTTGTGTGCATGCTCACACCATTATGCGGCAGCCCCATAACCCAGGTGGCTCAGTGCGGGCGGCTCCGCACCCGTCCCGCCCCATAGCCCGACGTGGCTCAGTGCGGGCGGCTCCGCACCCGTCCCGCCCCATAGCCCGACGTGGCTCAGTGCGGGCTGCTACCC